TGAGAAAGTATCTGGAGGTGTGGAAATCTTATTTTTCCCAGGTTATTCTACATTTTTTGTAGGTATCTCATGCTCAAGAAATTGATACATTTTCCCAAAATCTTCAATAAATTCAGTTCAGTAGAAACCTTGAGGTCATCCCCCACATATGATAAGAACAAATTACAGAACAGTGCATTGTTTCCTTTTCTCTGCTCCTTGTTATTATCATTCATTTATTCATTAGTCAACCAATTCATCCATCTTCTTTGAAACATTTAATGGGGGGGTCCTCTTTTAGGCATAGAAGAAACAATAGTGAATAAAACACGGTTTCTCTTCACAGAGCTCATATTCTACTAAGAATTAAGTTTAGACCTGATACATTTTTTTTGAAGGAAAGTAATAGAATAGAAGTGATTGTAGAGGTAGGAGACACATTATGAATGGTGGGACAGCTGAGCTGAGATCTAAAAGAAGAACAGCCAACTATGAAAAAAAAATAGGAGAAATGTTAAGAAGAAAATGGCCACTGGGAAGATACTGTGATAGGAAATAGTGTATTTACAGGACAGAAAGTTCAGAATAGCTAGGCTCTAGTATGGGTGAACACTGTGAAAGATCAGATCAGAAATAGTGGCAAATTTAGATTGTATATAGTTTTGTAGGCTATATTAAGGCATTTGAGGTTATTCCAATTGTGGTTGAAAGACATTAAAAGTCATAAGCACAGGAGTAATATAAATTTACAGTAGCTGTAAAAATAGGTGGATCTGCTTGGAGCAAAACAAACTGAAGTGGAGCAAGACTTTGGAGTAAGGAGTAAGTTTTGCAATGAGCCAAGAGACATAAGAGTGACGTGAGCTGCAGTAGAGAAGCTGAAAAGTGACTAGAACAGATGGCATGTGGGAATGAAGGAGAGGGAAATGACCGATGACATTCAGGTTTGTGGCCTTGCCATCTGGGTAGGCATCTGTGTCATGAATTGAGATTAGGAAGAGTGGAATAAGAGCACTTTTGAGGGACGGATTATAAGAACTAGGTTTTAATTTCGCAAGGTTTGAACTGTCTATTAGAATGCCTCCAAGTGTAAAGGTTGAAGATGGATTTATGAGTTTGGAGCTCATGGACACATTTGGGGGTTTTTAGGGTTGTGCTCTTAGACACTAAAGTGTTTAGAAGAACAGGAAAAGTCACTGGGGAGTAATTATACAGTCAGAGAATACTAAGGGAAAGGCATTTCAGGAAGTGAGTAGTCAATAATGTCAAGTGTTGCTGAAAGATTGGGAAGGAAGTGAAGACAGAACTGGTGATAAGATTGAATAAGGTGGGTGCTAGAAGTGACCTGAAGAAAGACACTCAAGACCAACTTGAATGGCCTTTAGGAGAGATCAGGAGAAGACAAATGAGAAAGCAGTTATGGATAAAGAAATCTTTTGTGAAATTTTCTGTTGAAGAGTTCCATAGGAATGCAGAGAAAAATCAAAGGAGCTTCTTACTGTATTTTATTATTATAGTGGTACTGGAGATTGAACCCAGGGGTGCTCCACTGCTGAGCCACATCCCTAGTCCTTTTTAAATTTCAAGACAATGTCTCATTAAGTTGTTTAAGGCCTCATTGAGCTGCTGAGGTCGGTTTTGAACTTGCAATCCTCTTGCCTCAGCCTCCCAAGTTGCTGGGATTTCAGGTGTGCTCCTTTATGCCCGGTGAAGGTTCTTATTTTAAAAATAGAATAGAGGAAGGTAAACTTGTATTCTGGTCAGAATGATTCAGGAATGGGAGGGAAGCTGATGTTGCTTAAAAGGGAGAATTATGGCAGAAGTGAAAACCTTGCATTGTCAAGAAAAGATAGGATTTCGGCAGTATCATCCAACAGAAATATAATGAAAGCCACATAAAATCTGAGTTTCCAATAACCTCATTTAACATAAAAATAAACAGGAGAAACGAATTTAGCAATATGTTTTATTTGACAAAATATGTTTGAAATATAACATTAACATGTGTTAACATAGAATGATTGGGAGATTTCCATTATGTTATAAATTTATGGCTTTGAAATTCAATGTATAATTTATACTTGCAGCACATAGCAGTTTGGAGTAGTCACATATAAAGTGCCTGATGGAGTGTAATAGAAGACTTGACATGAGATAAATGCATGGAAATTTCTCCCATTATATCATGAGGTAAGATAGAAATTTTTATATATATTTGGTGGTGATAATTTGAGGTAGTTTTCATATGTGTTTTAAAATGATGCATAATGAAGTAACACATTTTTATGAGAGGAAGACAAGGAGAGGAGTTGTGAAATGGACATTTGGAGAGTGGAAAGATGAATCTGTATAGCTCATAAGTCTTAGAAATTTGAAAATGGGTAAAGTCCTACTTGAAGTTCTTGTTCTGCCCAGGAGTAGAGGCCATATTTGACTTCTTCAAAAGGGAAGCACATCACAAAGTAGTAGAACATGATATGATTTCTATCTGGAGACCTTTGTACAGAATTCACTGTCACAGAAAATCGAAATGAGAGGAGCATGGGCAAGTATTGAACTCAGAGCCTCCCTGTTTGTCCCCTGGGTCCACTACAGAGCATAAGGGAGCCATTTGGAAGAGGCTGGCATCTGTCATTATGTGGACAGAAAAGTAGAAGAAACTTCTTTTCTGAAAGAGTGAATGTGACATTTATAGAAAGAGGCAGAGACAAGAGACCAATAGACTTAGAAAGATTGAGAGAAAAAGTTTAGTTCGAGTTACTGGTTCCAGTTCCTTTTCCACTAACTAGGTCTCTGTAAAGAACTTTTCTCATTTTCTTTGCCTTTTTACTACAGTCTACTTCTGACTTTATTTCATTTTCAAGAAGAATTGTTATTCAGCCTTTATTCCCTGAACTTTCTTCCTTGTAGCTCTTCAAAATAACCATGGAAATGCTAGCATGCTCTTGGAATCTCAGTGAGAAATTCCACTTGGGCCCCTGCAATTGTTATCTTGCACAGAGATATGGCTACTGCTGTCCAGGAGATTTCTAGACTAATCACATTTTTAATTTCTACAGCATTGAGCAATGCTTCCTTGGGAGCTCCTCTAATGCCTCAGCTTAGAGACGACCTCTGGAACTTGAGACCAGCTCAACGGAGCTGTCACTGTAATAGCCACCTAAACAGAATCTTGGAGAAGAAAAAAAAAAAAAAACTTGCAGCATTTACACAGGATTTCTGAAAGACTCTTCTTCTGAGTGAAATAATTAGTCTGGAACATTACCTGTTGACAAAACAGCATCCCAAGAAGCTGGAGTTAAATGCCAGACACTTCTGAAAACAGAAAGAAGATAATCCTCAATTTCAAGGTCCTTACTTTTGTCAGCTCCTGCAGTTGTGTGAAGGCAGAAGAAATTTTCCCTAAACGTAGCACTGTGACGGGCATGGGTGGTGAGATCTTTTTAGAATAAGTCAATTTTCTGCTCCTACAAGGGTCTGAATAATGCTACCTATTCACCAACCCAGAGAGGAATTCAATTTTGTTTTTATTAGACTGAAACCTCTCTTGATGCTCACTGTGAGTCCATAGGGGAGCAGTAACACAACATGTATCTGCTTCTTCAATTTAGGAAATCTTGCTGAATTTGTAATGAAGCGGCTGGGATTGGTTTTACGGAAGCCATACACACACATATAAAGTTCTTCTCATCTACCTCTTTCATCAGCTTTCTTTCTTACTCTCAAGTTTTCTGCACACGTGTCAAAACAGTACAGTTTACACCAAATCATCCACATTTGCTTTCCATTTAGCAAAGATCCACTTATCTGCAGGTGATAGTTTGCATGTGTACACAGGATTTTATCCTTCGTGCATTTTTTAATGTTATCAACACATAAAATAGTAAATTCTAGTTAGTAAATATCTATGCATTTATTATATTTTCTGTTAGCATCTTTCTTGAGGTTAGGGACCAGCTCTGCTTGTTCACCCCTGGGCCATTAGTATTAGTTGCCACTAGCATTGATAGCTGAACCATAGAAGGTACTCCAAAAGTATTTACTAAATGAATACATTACTTGCATTTGCTTATTAAAACACTCTTGCATGATCAGTATGACTGTTGTATTTCATAAAGTGGGAAGCCAAGACTTGGACAAATTGAGTCACCACTGCAAAGTTCGATAAAGAAATATCTAGTTTAGACCCACTACCAGGCTTCTTCCCTATCCTTCTGCTTCCTCAAACATAACTTTGATGTGGGTGTCAACTCTTTCTGACCAGTTTTTATTGTTGATTGCATGCTTTACATGCTTTTAAGGGAGCTACCTGTGGCATTCAAAAATCAGGGACAATTTTACATAATGCCCTATTAGTAATTGTTGTATTCTGCTACCTTTCCAATCCCCTACTATCCTCCCTCCCCTTCCCTCACATCTTCTCTCTCTACCCCATCTACTGTAATTCATTTCTCTCCTTGTTTATTTTCCCATTTCCCTCACAACCTCTTATATGTAATTTTGTATAGCAATGAGGGTCTCCCTTCATTTCCATGCAATTTCCCTTTTCTCTCCCTTTCCCTCCCATCTCATGTCTCTGTTTAATGTTAATCTTTTCTTCCTGCTCTTCCTCCATGCTCTGTTCATAGTTGCTCTCATTATATCAAAGAAGACATTTGGTATTTGTTTTTTATGTAAAATTGTGGATGTGTAACCGACATGATTCTGCAATCTGCATTTGGGGTAAAATTGGGAGTTCATAACCCACTTCAATCTAATGTATGAAATATGATATGTCAAGAGCTTTCTAATGTTGTGAACAACCAATAAAAAAAATTTTAAAAAAGAAAAAAAAAGTATAAGCTATGCCCTTGTTTTGTTTTATGTACAAGTAAAACTGAGAACAGTTATTATTACATAGAATATTCAAAACAGTTTTATTTTCCAGTACTAAATTAAGAAAATATACTAAAAATATTTTCAAATGCTATGTATTAAATTTTATTAAGCACTATTACAAAAAAAAATCAGGGACAATAAGATACTGATTTCTCTCACTTTATTTACTTAGATGTGCAAAGGCAGTTTTATGTGAAAGTCTTGGCTCAAGTTTGCTTTGGAAACTGGGTCATCTATTCTTTCCTCTGTGCTTCTTCCATAAGCCGTCCTGTTGCACTGCCAACCATATCTTGCTCTGAAGACCCATTTTCTAGGTTGCTATGAGAGGAAGAAAATTTTCATAGTGGTAACAAGGTTTGGTCTGTAGTCTGAAAACCCTGAAAAACTTCCCCCTTTTCAAGTAGCAAAGTTTGGTCTGATTAAGATTCTTTGTCCATTTTAATTTCATGAAAGCTTTGCCATAAAAAAATATATGAGTGAAATACACCAAAACATCTAGATATCAGAGACTGCAGCTCCATCTAATTCCTACATCTCATTTTTTCCTGATTGTTGAATTCCTGCTGACATTCTGTTCCCTCCTGGCCATCCACGTTTTCCTTAGATCATTTATCCTCTTTTTGCATCATCTTTTCTCAGTCTCATTTCCTTTCCTGGTCATTTTTCAGTTTGTTCTTTTTTGCTGCCCTTTTCTCCCTCCCCTTTCTGCATCTTCTTTAAATGGCATGTTTAATTCTCTTCTCTTCTGTACATATTTGCTTTGCTACTTGGGGAATATCTTTGGCAGGGAAAAAAAAAAGGCTTCTGGCTCTTTCTCCACTAACACTAAAAAATAACAACACCAATCACAACAGCCACACACACACACACATATATATACACACACACACACACACACACACATACACACAGGTTTCATGTGGAAAAGAGATTTTCAAATGAGTATGCTTGGCTTAATTTCTAAGTGTGTTGTTTTTGTTCTCTTTACATTTCCATTTTGGCCACTATCACCCTATAATTATGCCATTTCTTTCTTTTGTGGTTTTGATAATGTTTTTATCCCGCTCATTTTCCCTTATTCCTTCTTCTATGACACCTTGGACTACCCAGACTAGATAGATATGTTAAAAGCATTAATATTCTGTGACATTTTTATTTCCATAGGAGTCAGGAAGAGAACTGTGTGCTGTTCTGGTATTTTCAATAAGGTGAGCATGCCAAATGGAGATATTAATGTCAATAGTCTAGTTTCCATGTACCGGATGACATGTTGTTCTGATTTTATTCTAGTTCCTCAGATACCAATTTTTTTTTTTTTTGCAAGAGGATATGATGATGCTGAGGTTGTAAGGGCTGGAGAAATTAAATAATTTGCTCATTTGATGAGTGGCATGAATATCAGTACTTCTAATATTTGGCAGCATGAATATTTTTGAATACCAATACAAATACATTCAGCTGTTGGGTATTAGCTATGTTTGCTCAGGAATATTGCCAGCAGCAGGTTGTAGAAAAATCCCTTAACTTGGCATGCATCTTATTATTCTGATGGAAAGCCCACTAGACAGGGATTGACATAGTCATTAGCAGGGATCTTAAGCCGCCTTGAGAAGAGATTTAGAACATCTGGGGCTTTTGATGTCCTTTCTTCAACTTTCTCTGTATCCTGTACACAGGAATACTACCATTACAAGTACAGATATATCTGACCTTTCTTTGGCACTTATTATATATTATACACAAAAGCATTTGGGGACATAAATGTTCTATCTTTGAAATAAAACAAAGCAATTCTTTAATTATCTCCATCTAGTGGCTTACAAATACTTCATCCTTAGTCATAATAGTTAATGATCATAGCCACTAGATGACCTCTTTTTATTTGAGCTTTGTATGTGCTTTCTCCTTTTATCCATATTTCTTAATTTTCAACAGTTTTTTCTTTATTTAAATTTTGTAAAGTGTGAATTTTAAATCTGATTTTGAGGAACTCATGGGAAATAGATTGCAATCTGACAATGGTTGCTCTTTGTCGTGTGCAGGGCATGCTGGGGAAATGATTTGGGTAGACAACGGAAAGAACATGAATCTAAGAGTTGGAGCATTATGGGAAATAAAAGTCAGATGGCTACATGGACACAGTTGACAAATACATCACCAGCATTCTGATTTTATGTCACACAAAAAAATAGAAGTTATTTTTGTTTCTTCATAATTTTCTTTCCATCACTTTCAAAAAACTGTCAGTTTGGCTTCTAAATATCTCTTGAAGCTGTCTATTATCTCCACTTTTGTCAAGTTTCTAGCTGTACCTTTGTGAAATCCCATAAAGGCAACCTAATTCACTCATCTATTCATCCTTTTATTTATTTTATTCAATAATTATTCAGCATCTACCTGGGAATACAGTAATTGTCAAGAAGGTCCATTTTCTCTGTCTTAATGAGATATCTGGCTTCATGGGAAAAACAGCCTTTAAACAAGTTTGACAAATACTGTGGCTGCCTCTTCCTGCAGTGAGTTCTCTATATCACATCCAGGGTTATTTCTTAAAAATGCAGGTATACATGTGGTTTCTTTCTTTTTTCTTTTTCTTTTATTTTTTTTTGACATTAATTTTTTTTTATTTGTAATATATATTATTCCACTGTACACAACACAAGCGTATACTTACATAAATAACAAGTATACATGTAGTTTCTGTATTTAAAATAATTTTCATGGTTCAGTGTTGGATGTAGAATTCCTTCGATTTGCCTTGGGGCCTCCACGATCTGGCCTCATCTTAACTGGTGCTGCTTCTCGTCTCTCCACACTTTTCTTTCAGGTTCTCTCTCAGAAGACTGTTTCTCACTTCAAGGCCTTTGCAAATGCTCTCCTCTTTTCTTGAAATCTGCCCTCCATCCTTCTTCACAGGCCCCCTCTTCTTCAGTCTCAGTTTGGAGTTTCTTTCCTGTCTGGGTTTGGAGATCCGGTGCTCTGCTGCCATGGCAACCCATATTACCCCATTCGCAGCACTTACATTCCTCCGTAAAGGCTTGTTTACTGTTCTGTCTCTTCTGTTAGACCATAAGTTCTATGTCTGTTCAATTTAGTTGTGTCCCTAGGGAGTAGCAAAACGTCTAAGCAAAGTGCAGAATAAAAAAATGAGCCCATTTCATTTAATGCCATTGTTATTTGTCTCTTAGGAAATAATTTTCTAATTTCTCTCAAATTTTTTCCTTCCTTTCATTTTCCTGAACATCTTTAGTTTAGGCTTTGATGATCCCAAGAGTCTCCAAACTACTCATTTTGCTTTTAATCTGGTATGACTTAGTCCATTCTGTATGTTTCAGTCAGAGTGGTCTCACTGAAGGCAAATATGATGTGATTCCATTTCTTTAAGAAAATATTGAGGCCTTTTGCCTACAGCATAAATCCCCAAATTGTTTGGATGGCTTAATGGATCCTCCATTTTTCCCTTGAAGTTAAAAGAGCTTGCTGTTTTATTGTTTCATGTCTGTTTGCTTTTGGACATTTTGTTCCTTCTAACTAGAATACCTTCTTATCACTCTCCTCAATTATCTGTTTGGGAAATTTCTACTCCTCTCAAAACACATCCTCAACTGTACCCTCTCGTGTACCTTCTCCAATGTTAAGGAAAATCGGTCATTCCCCTCTTTGTGGTACCAGTGTACGTTCAGCACATTTCTATTAAAAAGATTTGTACTCACTATTTCAAATCTTCCTATAGCTTTTCCTCTCTTTTTGAATGGCTCTTTTATTTTTAACACCTTGAATTTTTATTGAATGAAAAAATGAAAAACATGGAGCATACTGCTATAACTGCTCCATATAGTAAGTGATAAAGTACATTTTAGCTGTATCATTTACCATACTGTAGGCAAGACAGTTCTTCCAAGTAAAGTTCCTGGCACAGAAGAATTTAGAGGCTCAGATGTCTTTCCTCTGTCATCTATGAAAAGTGATATTCTCAATATATACATGTAACAAAATATGCTACCTATTAATATATATATAATTTTTATATTTCTTATACCGGTTAAAAATAATTTTAATAATAAAATGCCTGTTCTTGAAGCAGTTTTCACTTCCTACCTTTGAAATAGATATATGCCTATAGATTCACAATTCTGGAAAGATCCTTCTTTGATTACCTTCATAAACCTACTTCTGGAAGTTTAGTGGGTCTGGTTCACCTTCTATATCTTCTTCTCCAGAGGTAGTGATGGTAGTATTAGTAGTATTAATAGTATTTGTAGTAATATAATTTTGTTATAGGAGCTCACTTAGGTACTTTGGTAACCATAAGTTTGGTGCAATATAAACTCAATGGTCATGGTAACTACATATAATTCCTGATACTGAGAACAAGCAAAATAAGGAAACACAGGCATAAAAGTATATGAAAGCAAGTACCTTATCTAAAATCTGTGTCGAATGGCATGGAGTTTAATTCTCTTAATTATTTGATCAATATATCATCTGCAAGTATTCCCCCAAGGTCTAAACAAAAGATGGCTTATCACCTTTACATAAGATTAATGCATTTGAACTCCTGTTTTTATCCTCTGGTTTGCTAATTTTTGTGGATAGTGTAATTCCCAAGGACTGAGAGAAATTTTACAGCAGATGAGACACTAAAAACCATACAAAAAGGCAGGAAACACACAGCCCAAAGTGGATTGCTAGCGTAATCTCCGAGAAACTGCAATGGACATCACTTTCATTTCATTCCTAGGAAAGGGGCAGTCTAAGTAATTTATGAAGCACTAGCCAGAGATTAGCTATGCAAAAGCTTCCACTGTTGCAGGCTCTACTGCAAGAAAATGGACCACAGCATGAAATATGTTTCCCAAATTGAAGTCAAGGTAAAAATACATTTTTAAGATACATGTGGCTTACAAAGAGATTTTAAAAGAAGTTTTGATTGCAAAGGAATACACTCTTGAAAAGAGGATTCTGATAGGGTTAGGGTTAGAATAATTCTGTCAAACATGCCAGTAGCAAGGCAGATTTTGAAATTGTTAGCCTGAGTCATTCTCTTTCTATCACCTTTGAAAGTTCAAAATGCTTGATTTAGTTCAAAAATTACTGGGGAAATGTCAAATTGTCCCTTGGTATAGTTCAACAATCACTGAGGCTTCTCATCTTAAAGAAAAATTTCCATTTCAAAAACACTTTTCTTATTTCTGATGTAAAGAAACATAGAGATCATGTATTTAAAAATCTCATTTTCAGATGAGCACGTAGATATGCAGAGAATTTTAAAACTGGTTAGTTATAAGGCTTTAACGAAAGAAATCAACCAGATTCTCTGAATGGAACTGTTTCCTCTATTCCTTAGACACTTCCACATGAAAAAATCATTAGTGAAGATTGAGATATTTTAAATAATTTAGATAGAGACTTAACTATGCTTCATCTTGTTGGGCAAATTCTTCTTTAGAAATATAGAAATCTGCAGTTTTTATCCACTAACTTTGGATGAAAAGGACTGAAATATTCAAAATGCTTAAAGAAAAATCTTGATAGAAAGTCTCTAACATAAAACTTAGTTTTCAAACTTTCAGTTATTTTTATACAATAAAAATAAAACAACTTTTAAATTATATTAGTCACACCACTAACAAATTTTTACCTTGTTTCCTTTCTTTCCAATTATAAATATTTCACTGTATTCTTCATTCATAAGTTTTCTTTTATGCAAGAACTTTTAAATACTTTATAAACATTGATCTCATAAATCAATTGAAAAATCAGTTTGCTGTACCCTCCTGAAGGAGTGTGTTTAGTTTCCTTCTCTCAGATCCTTCCTCTATGAAGGTGGATGTTATGGTTTGGATGTGTGCTGTCTCCCAAAAGCTCAAGTGTGAAACAATGAAAGAAGGTTCAGAGAAGAAGAAATTATTGGGTTACAAGAGCCTTTACCCAGTCAGGGAATTAGTCACCTGATAGGGATTAATTGAGTGGTAACTAAAGGCAGGTGGGGTATGGCTGGAGGAGGTGAAGGATTGAGGGCAGGGATATGGGATATATATATTTGTATTAGGCAAGTGGGGGTGTTTATCTGCTTTCTGATCGTCATGTGAGCTGCTTTCCTCTGCCACAGTCTTCCTCCATGATATTCAGCCTCACCTGGAGCTGGGAGCCATGGTGTGGGACTTCTACAGACTGAGACTTGTAAAACTGTGAGCCCTTAAATAAACTTTTCCTCCTCTATAATAGTGTTGGTCAGGTCTTTTAGTTGCACTGGTCAAAAAAAAAACTGACTAAAACAGTGGATACTTTATTGTCCTCATTTAGTCTATGAAATACATTTTAAAAACATCTTTATGTGGAACCTCACATGCAATTTCTTAGGTGGATATAAGGTTTTATAACAAAAAGAGACTTTTCTCCAAGGAGCTAAAAATCTTTAAAAAAGATAATCCATGAATTAAAAAAAAAATAAACAAAACACCATGTAGTTCCAGGTGTTGTTAAGTAAACAGAATACAGTTAGAGATCAGAGAGAAATTCCTAAAATAGATGGCTTTGAGATTGAGCCTAGATGGAAGACTAGGCAAGGAACTCAAGAACAGAGTTACAGCATAAAACATACTCTGCCAAAAGTGATGGGGATTGAAAGCACATGACATGGCTAGCAGTTCCTTACTGAGGACAAGAAGGGGCAATGAGGCAGTTTGTACTCCAGACATAAAATTCAGGAAGAGATGTTTGTCTCCTTTTCTAACTTGCAGCCTAAGTATCCACCGTTGACACGTTACCCCAGTATATCTGAAGCTGTTCCCTCTGTGTAGGTAGAAATACCTATTTAAATATACAGGGTAGACCCAGGCTTCTCACTCAATTGGAGTTTTCTTCAAAAGATTTCGGTAGCTCCAGGTCACTATGAAGTAAGGCTACTGAGAGTAACTTCTAGACCACTTCAAACTGTTGGGAATCAATCCAGAAGAGATAAATATAGAGTTTGAGAATCAGGGCTTAAAACTTATGGCAAGACTGTCATGCCACAACATCTACTACGATTTAAATAATGATGTCTCTCTTGAGTGTCATGTTGAAGCTGAATCCTCAGTGCAATGGTATTAAAAGGTATGACTTTTGAGGAGCTGATAAGTCATGAGGGCTTTGACCTTATGAATGGGATAGGACTCCTATAAATAGGTTTGATGCCAAATGGAATGCTCTCTTGTTCTTCCATCTACTTTGCTACATGAGGACCCAGTGTTCATCACTCTGAAGAAGGCAACAACAAGGTACCCCTTTGAAAGCAAGGTGCTGCTTGGCTCCTTATCAGGCTCCACTCATCCCTGTACCTTAATCTTCCACTTCCCAGCCTCTAGAATAGTGACAAATAAATTTCTATCATTTATAACCTACACAGTCTGTTAAAATAGAACTAGCGCATCAAGACTATATCCAAGCCTGGGATTGGTGTTAGGTTTTATGGAACAGGGTGTAGAACAATTTGATTGGTGTGTTGAACTCCTGTGCTAGGTCATGGGTAAAACAGCTATATTTTGATCATGCTTGTGGACATGTGATGGATCATAAGTTCTAAGAAGTTTTGTCAACATAGAGAGTTAAACAATTGTATCATCTATTCTCTTCAGCAAGTGTTTATCTTACTTCTATTATATACCATTTTCTGGTTGTAAAGTGGTAATGTTCCATCCATAGACTTTGCTGAGAGAATAATTTTCAGCTTTTCTCCTAAATTCAGTTACTTTTCTCCTGTCTATAGAAACTAATACTCAGGGGGATCTTGTCCTGATAAATACATACACAATACCCTAATTACAATGCCAAAAGTTATTGAGTACTTACTGTGTGTTGTGTACCACTCTAAGCACTTTATAAATATCTTTTTATTGTATGTCAGAGTCCAGTCAGCAAAACTAATCATGTTTGGTATTCAAGTAGAGGCAATTTAATATATGGAATTGGTT